CGGGGGCGGGGCCGGAGGGCGGGCGGGGCCACAGGCAAGCCCCGCCCCCGAGGCCAGTCGCCTAGGCAACCAGTCGGGCGCGCTCCCGAGAGGCCCTGCGCGGTGCGGAAGCTTCTGCCCGCGCTTAGATAAACAAGCACAGACAGTCCGCCCGGCGACACCCCACCCCGCGCATCCCGTCAAACCCAAGGCCTGCGAACTGCGCGTGCGCGCTGGTCGTCTGAGGCGGGAGCAGCGGCAACCTGAGACTTTCAGGCCGAGAACTGAACGGAATCGAAGTGGAAAAGGGGCGAGAGGCATCTCCAGGCTTGAATCTGAAGCAGGGAGATACAGAAAGAGAAGCGCAGTGTCCAAGGGGGGAACCCTGGCGTGAACGCCAGTGTCCGACATGACCCGGTCTGTCAGCATTCCGGAGAATTTAGCTTTATTTTGTATAACCATACGATGTGAATTGTTGTGTAAGGGATGAATGCCTCCAAGCCTCTGAGGTTGCATGAATACAAAAATGAAGCTTGGTTTCAAAGGTTAGGACACTCAGGGAGGGGTGACAACACCTCCGAACGGCTAGGCAGCGGCGCCCAGTCAACACGCAGGCCTGTCCACGCCCGATGACGTCGCCGCGGCCCCGCCCCCTCCGCTCTAGCTCCGCCCTTCAGTGGCGGACCAAAGTAGAGTTCTTCCCACGCCCTCTCAGCCTGGGGTGCGTGGAAAACATGGAGCGCGGAATACCCAACGGCAGCTGGAAGGCCCTGGGACACCTCAGCAACAGCCTGCTGGGGGTATCATGTCGGAAGGGGGGAATCATTCTAGCCAATCAGTTAACGACTCTGGACCCCATGGTCTCACTCACGACCAATAGAGAAAAATCTTATACCACGTGTTGGTTTCTCCTTCAACCAATCGGGAAAAAGTTTAGTCATAGGCTTTGCTAACCCTTCCTCCAAAGCCTCGCCAGGGTGGGCGTTTGCTCCTGGGCACGCTCTGCCAACCAATCATAGGTGAGCAAGTGAATGACGGCGGTTTGAGCTGAGCCAGCCATAACTCGCGGTTCCCTTGCCTCGGAGAGCGGGTGGTAGAGAGACAGGGCGGGGCTGGTGGGCCTTGGGAGGGGCCGAGATTGAAGGGCTAGTTGCTGTGCCAGGTTCTGGCAAAGGCACAGGTTGCACTGGCAAGCGTGTGATGAATTCTGCTTTAAACGTTGTCTCTGTGGTATTCTGCCGAAATGATGGGCCTGGAAGTGGGGTTGAGGGATGGAGGTTGATCGTGGGCTGAACGGAGAAAAAAAGGACTTTTGCCTTTAGGCTGAGAAAATTTCTGGTTCTTAAGGAGACGTCGTGCTGTAGTTGCATTGGTGCACGCGTGCTTATAGAACATTTCCTTCTTTTACTACTCAGTTTTTAAATTCAGCATCTGTCTCTAACGTTAGATCTTGAGGACACACCCTTTCCCAGCTCGTCTCAGATTTAGGCGACTTTTTATCCCAAACACCCTGTATGAGGATGATGCTAATTTTGGAACAGTTGGTTTTGCATTTACTTTAAAGTGTTTCCTTCTGGAACTGGCCTCCTCCATTCCCCATTACATCTCTTGAAAATAATGTGTTTCGGTAATTTTAATGTTAGGTCAATGTGTAGCTCTCTACTGTTCCCCTTTTCACAAGGTCATTGTAGAGATTATTTTGATTTGAGTTTCTGTAACAGACTGGTGTTCTTTTTACCATTTTTCTATCAGTTATCAAACTACTGCAAAGATGTACTCAGATTCAGCAGTGCCCTATTGCCCTTTTGCTCCATTAAATAGAATGGATAACCAATGTTTGTATTAATTGCCATAGATAACAAGACGTTTTTGATTAAACAAGGGCACGTGTCCTGTTAATTTTGAAATGTAAATTACATTTGTCTCTCACTGAATAAAAATACAGTTGTCTCGGCATCAGTAGAGGATTGGTTCCAGGACACCTCCTTCATACTAAAATTTTCAGATATTCAAATCCCTTATATAAAATGGCATATTTGCATATAACCTATGCACATCCTCCTGTATAAATCATCTCAAGATGGCTTATAATGCCTAATATAGTTTAAATGCTATGCAAATAGTTATAGTGTATTGTTAATGGAATAATGACAAGAAAAATGTCTGTGCATGTTTTCCCCTGAATACAGTATTTTAAATCTACCATTGGCTAACTCCATGGATATGGCAGGCTGACAGTATAAATCAGTCATTATTTCTTGAGAATGTGTTATCAAAATATGAGAAATTAAGTCTGAGCTACCAGGATCCGCAGCAAAGGCAAGCTGTAAGAAAAACAGAATCAGAAATGTTTTAAGAGAATTGAAAGTGAAGAGGATCTGATATGTTAATCTAAGCTAGTAATGTAAAGAAGAATTAAAGTTGAGAGGGCTTACCTGGATGTTTCAAGTCTGACTACTTTGGCGGGGATGTTTCAAGATGATGTTGTAGGTAACCTAACTTTTTAGAGGTCTCATTTTGTGTAAAACTAGTGTGCTTTCTTGTCATTATTGTTACTTTAGCTTAGTTACCTTCTCTTGAAGACAGACACACTGTCTCTGGTAAGATTCAAATTGTGTATCTTAGTGATAAGAAACTCTTAGGCTTGGTGGAGATTAAGTAGAGCCAAGAAACATCAACTTTAAACTTCTTTCACAGATCATACAGCCCATTCAGTTTTTTTTGCATTACAGTGGAGCTAAAAATTCATTTACTTTGCAAGGAATAAAAGTCTGGCATTTGTGTTTTGTTTTGATTTTTGGTTTTTGAAATTTGCTTTGGGATTGTGATTCCAGACTCCCTTCAAAGCTGGGAAAGTCTGGGTTGGTGGGCATCTGACAGAAGTTGTCATAAAAATGTTGAGTGGACTTACTAGTCACTCCACCTAGCATAATAGAGAGTAGAAGAGCATTTGTTTTTCATTTCTCAGGATATTTTTTAAGAGTAGGAAAAATTTATTGAGAGAAAGAAAAGCTTCTAAGAGGGACAGAAGGGGACCTGGAAAGTGGTTGCCCTCTGTCTTGGTTACTTTTCTGTCACTGCAGAGACAAAATACCTAATGCCCAAAATTAAGGAAGGAAAGGTTTATGTAGCTCACAGTTTGTGGAGGTTTCAGTCCATATCAGCTGGCTCTAAGTCAGGGTGGTATGGTGAGGGGCAACACTTCAAGGTCGCAGAATACAACAAATGCAGCAAGAGCAAAAAAGCATGGGAGAGCACACCTCTTTTTCTCCCTTGCATTGTAAGCAGGCTACCACCCCCTAGGGAGGGTGTAGCATTTACACTGTCTCTGTGCCCTCCTCTTGCACAGGATGAGGATGTTTACAAAGTGAGTACCCTGGCCCCTTGGTGAGTTGCTTCATTAAATTTCTAAACTTCTCAAGTCAACACAATGTATCAACCATTACACCCTCTCAGAATATTTTTTGACCTTTAGTCAATACTAACTTTTTTCATAAGAAGCATAGAGACTGAAGCCCATGGGGTAGTTACAGCTCTTGTGTGTTTCTCATTGACAAGCCTCTGTTTTTACTCTTAATGCCACAAAGAGGCAAAAGAAACAACAGGTAGAAGCATGTTTTCTCACTGTTTCTGGCTCAGAGGATGGTATAAAGTTGATTTGTTGCTGTACATGTGATAATGGTTGAAAGATTAGCTGTGGTAAGAAGGATGTCAGGACGTATAGAGAATTTTTGAAGATTTGATTATGAGATGGAGGTCTATTTCCTGATCCCTTAGTCATGTTATTTGTATGCCAGCATAAACTCTATTGCAAGAGTGATTTTAGAAATAAAAACTTATGTCTTCATTCATTTGTTTGTAGGGAAAAACAAAATAAACATGAGATAAGACAAAATTGACTTTTTCCCCAAGAGCTGTAAATCTCTGTGATAGTGGAAATCCATAACTGTATACTGACACTGCAGGGTCCTTTTAGTTACAGAATCACTTTCCTGAGAGAAGGAAGAAAGAATGAAAAAACTTCATTTTCCTTTTCCCTACTGGATCTGAAAGGAGTTATCTCACCTATATCCAGATACCCTCAATTGTCACAGTTATGTTACCATGGAAACTCAGCTCCTTTTCTTTCTTTCTGTGAAAGATGTTGGAATAGGTGGAATGAAGTGGGAGGTACACTGCATTCTGGGACTTCCTGATGCTGGCAAGAAGGAAACATGCTCAGGATTTAATGTAAACAAATTAGACGACATTTGTAATATGATCAGTACTTCGTGGCTATAAAACCCTGATTCTTAGTGGTTCCTTTGAAAGCCTGTGTGTCTCTGATTAATCTTAAAAGTGAAGGACAAGTCAAACACACTTAGCACCTAGGAAATGCTGCTGACAATTGTAAGGGGAGAAGGTCAAATTTTCTTCACCTCCAAGTCACCTAATACAGCTGAGAAACAGAAGTATATGATGAATGGGAAAGAAGGGGCAAAATGAGCTTGTTCTTTTGAAAACATGACACATCTTG